ATTTATAAAAATAGGAAGAGATTTGTTTTTATTGCCATAATTTTACTTTAAAATATTCATAAGCTTCCTTCTGGTTCTAAATTAGTTCAGAATACTCTGAGCTAATATCCCTCTGAATTTGGAGACATTGAGAGCTTACTGGTTTGGTTTTAGAGAAAAGTGTCATGTCAGATGCTAAAATAATTCACATCAGAAATATTCTTTTACGGAGCAGAAGTTCTCAAGAACAAATACTTTGTCACAATGGAACTGTTTTCAGTGTACATGAGCAAAAGGAACACACTCACACAAAACCCTAAATGAGATATGCCTGGAGAGGAGATGAAGCCTACATAAAATGAGCGAATAGCTGAGCCAGACCACAGAGAATGAGAAAGGATACAAGAGGAATGCAACCCTGAATTTTTAAACAGTGATAAGAAAAGAGCTTGATCTTGCTATTATACTATTTTGTTACAGTTCATTTTTTTCAGATTAAATTATACTATCTTCAAGATCAAACACTATTTTGGCAGGTGTCTGGCTTACAGTTTTGAATCTAATTTCAAGTTTCTACAGTACTAATGCAGAAATCTAAGTGTAGACTGGAACCACGTGTCTGCCCACACCTCCAAGAGCAACAGCACATTTCCAGTGCTCTTCCCATTTTGTCCTCTATTCCATGTAAGAGCCAGCAATTCCAAGCTGAAGCTACTATTTTCAATAAATAAACATTCACACAAAAATGAACTTTAAAAGAACTGACAATACATTTCTCACAACCACATCCAAATATGCAAGAGTGTAACAAGAAAACCTCCACGTTAAATTGGTATAATCATTCTTTTCTTCTCACTTTAAGGAACATGATGGAGGAACTACACCACAGAAAAAAAGCTGAATTTTTATTTTTAGCTCTATCAACAATGTTTATACTAAAGGCAAGGATATATTACAGGTAAAGAAATATTTGTTCCAGTACAAACCCATACGTATTTCGTCACTAAACCATTCACAAAGTTCCTCAAGTCATCATCCCACAAAAATTAAAAGAAACACGCATTCAAAACAAAAGCAAGACATGAAAGAAAAGACATGAAACAGTCAAGTTGAAATCTTCCATTTAAAAAAAACCAAACCAAACCAAAAAATGAACACAGTAAGAGATAATCACTAGACAAAAAAGAAGAAAACTGGCTATTTGAGAAAAATTACTAAACCAGATGCAAATTATTCACACAAGTAAGGATATGCACAATCAGGCCATACTAATTGAGCACAATAAACATATCGTCACTCATTAAAGATCTATCTGCCTGAATTTATCTTTGCTTTCTCTTCAATTCTTGAGTTATTCAATCACTTCCCATCACGCAGGAAAGGAAATATTGCACTATGAAGACAGAGCTATAATTAGATATTTCTGTATTTCATTTCCCATATATGACTGAATGAGAATGGATGGGAAAAGTATGAACAGTGATAATAATAGTAAGTTGAAACATTCAGTAAGAAATACATTGGGCATAGAATAGCGTCTTAATTCTTCCTCAGCACATAATGCTGTGTTTACTGCAAGGTCAGTTAAGTTACTGTAAGAGATTTTTAATGAAAACAATTATAAATTTAAAATAACTGTGTTTAAAGCATTTAACAGTCACTAAGGTCAAGTGATTACAGCAGTTACAAGACCCAAGGGACATGTTCACACCAAAACAAAAGTGAATACATTACCTCAGCCAGTGTATGTAATCACTAAGTGACCACAGAGGTTATTCAATGTATGAGCCAAGATGACTTTCATGCAAAACCAATAATGAAAATTCACCAGCCAAAGGGAAAAAAGCATAAGAATTAGTAAAAGTTGCAGGAAGGGCTGAGAGCTCAGAAGAGCGGGAAAGAGGACGTGGAAAGCATGTTCCGTGATTTGGCTGCAGAGATGAGGAAGAAGGATAAACATTAATGACATGGATGGACAAGATGAACATTTTGTTCAGGTGAGATACCCGAAGAGTTGCAAACGGATGCAAGACCCACAAAATATAAAGTTGCAGGGTTGACAGAAGCGCTTTCAGTCCTGTATAACTCTGGCATATGTAACACCCAGTGAAGTACAAGCGAGGCAGGGGTTCAGAATAATCATCTTTTAACTTTTCCCTTGGCTTTACTGCCAAGAAAATTATGCATAGTTATTGTGTTGTGGTTATCCCATTATATAATCCTAGTGGAGATGAGGTCCTGTTGTTTTACCACAGAATAGGTAAAATAAGCTATAGAATGAAGCCTAGCTTTGATCTCACTTCTCTCCCAAGGTATAAACGATACAAATGCCTTGTCTTCATTACTGCTTTACAACACGATTGCCAGTGGAGAAAACCATGCACACAGAAGACTGAAAACCCCTTTCTATAAGGAGAACCTTGCATTTGATGGGAGTTCTCAGTGCATTGCTTTGGAACAAGGTTCCTACCAACTATGATGAAAAAAGATGCCTTCCACTATATGGCAGAAGAAAAAGGAATCCTGCTTGTTCCTACCAGCCACTGGTATGTATTTTTTAAACTATTACATGTTATCACCTCACAACCTTCAAGGTACTAATCTTCACAATATACATAGTAAACAGTAAAACGTGATTACTCCCATTTTGCAGATAGGAGCCTGAAATAAAGTGGCAAAAGGGCATGCCTGACCTCATAGTGTTTTGATTCCAGATAAGGAGAGGACAGCACTGGAGCAAGTATTCACCAACGTGACAAGATTCCCCAGGGGAATCAATTTGCTGCCTCACCTTATGCCAGAAACCTAATAACTGGTATTGTCATATATATGAAAATGCAAGTAGACTCTGTGCATGTAAGGAGGAAAAAAAAAAAGAAAGAAAGAAAGAAATAACAAAAGAAGTTTTCTCTGCACCTGAAATATGAAAGCCTGAGGCCAAAGCCAGTAGGTCCTCACACAGAGGTCCTCACACAGTCAGTTTCAATGACACTGACTGCCGAAGGACGCAAAACCTGCTTTCTCAGATAAATACTATACTGACTTCTACAAGAACGATATGTATGCTAAGAAAGCCCCATGGTAAATTATTGAGGCTGGAACAAAACATATCCAAAGGGTTATAATTCTTCTGTTGCAAATGTTAAACCCAGGATCTATGTGATAAAATTACACCATCATGAAACACCTGTTAAATACAAAGAATGCCAAGTGGCTGCCAATACTGTAAGATTCCCCATGAAAGGGTGAAAACACAGTAGCAGCTTACTTGTTTTGGCTTTCAGCAGTACTGAGTTAGCATTTTCAAATGCCAAGCACCAGGCATGGGCTCCAGCTATATCAAAAGAATACTGGTGAAATGACCCAAAGACCAAGGAGGAACTTTGGTAGCCAGACACTGCTCTCAGCATGGCATTCAGGGTAGACTTTGGAGGTCTACTCTCTCCAGAAAGCAATTCCTTTTCTGGAGCTGCCTGGCATCTGTAACTACTGAACCTCATTGAACAGCAGTGCTGCCCAGCTTCTCTATGAGGACTGAAGCTTGGTGGGACCACACCGCCCACTCCCAGTGAAGCTCTGCAGCCTCCCACTGCCCTTACCTTGCTTGCTCCTCCTCCTTCGCAACACTAAAATTTACAGGTTATCACAAAGAACATTCAAAAGTTTAGGAAGATTATTCCTACTGTGTCTCTTCCCTCAACCTATGTACATATCCACCTACTTCTCCTACCACTTCTTATTTCCTAGTCCTGCAATTACATTCCTAGAAAAAGGATAGTTCTGAGCTCATAAAATCTAGTGCTGGTTTCTAGAAATAAGAACAATAAAACTAAATTACAGTAATACAGCAGTATCTGGAAGCCCCAATCCCACACGCACAGCAATAAAAAGAAGGAAAAATGTTCTTTAAAATTGGGCTATGGAATCAGAAGCGGTCAGAAGGAAGATAAAAAGAACAGTATGGAGAAAATGCAAAGGAGGGTGAAAAGACAGAAAATGTGGAAGCTCTTCTATTTAAAAATTCCTTTTGTAAATCCAAATGTTCTTTACTTATCTCTTGAAGGGTCAGCCAAGGAACTCCAATGGAATAAAATGATGGTATTAAACGCATGTAGAGATGTGGCCAACATAGAGCAGGAAGAGAGAGTGCAGTGATGGAGGTAAAGCATGATGACAAAGCTATGCTTTCAAAGGTTTTTACATAATGCTGTAAATTCATTCTAACGATTCTTGAAGATCAGCTGCTTGAGTCACCTTCACCTCTGACTGTTTCGAATGCAAGTGGTGACAGGGCAGTACACAGCCAGCCTACCAGTGGCATTTATAACAGAAGCATCCTGCACAAGTTCCCCTCCTTCATCTTGGTCTTCTGCTGTTGCAATTTAATTGCCCTCATCTGTAGGAATACACTATCAATGCACTACTATCAACTACAGCAGACTACAAAAGGCATTCTACCAAAGAGGCATTGAGTACCTGCGTTCAAATTTAAAATGCCAGTACTCTAACTCAAAGAGGCAATCATGTGAATAACACCCCCAAAAAATTCTCCTCTTCCAAACAGTATTATTGATTTTGCTATCCTATATTGTGGGAAGAAGTACTTTCGTAATTTCCAAGTATGTTGTAACTTTCAACACTGCTTTCAGTTATGGTAAACCCAAAATACAGCAAGCAATAGTTTTGGCTGTAGACATAAAACCCCACAGCGTCAGCTAACAGGACGCTGTATACATTCATCTGAAGTGCCACCACTCCCTCAGCACACACAGAAGGCTACACAGTCCTTGCTGTGGAATGACAGAATCTTTTCCCCCAAGATAATGCAGAAATACAGCAAAGTCTCTAAATTTGTCTTAATTAACAGAATCATACTGAGGCTAGAAACAGCACATCACAAGAGGACAAGTGAAGCAAGGGTAGGGGGGCATTTTCAAGTGCTCTAATTCAATTAGGAGGCAGTGACTGACACTTGGACAGGAGGGGTTAATTGGGGTCACCAAAACGCAGTAATTCCTTACCTAACCAGTCATTAAACTTCTTAACCTCTGAGGGCAGTCCCAGTTCGGTGAAATCGCCCGTGTGGAGAAGGATGTCCCCATAAGGCATCTGGATGCCATCTGTTCTGGAGTGTGTGTCTGAGACGCAGACAAAGCGCGTGTGGCCCGCTGGTTTTGGAGTGTCATATGGGATAGGGTCGACCCTAAAGCAGACACATAAAGATCTCGTAACAGTTACAAGGTTAAAGCCCTCCCATCTATTATTTCAGATATCAACACAGATCTATCTCTACATAAGCGTGCATGCACACACACACATCCATTTACACACACCATGCTGAAAGAAATCGCTCTGCAATGCAACACTGCCAAAAATCCAGAGGGGACCACAGTGCTTCTTAAATACTTACCTGGTAAGGAAGGAAGATTAAGAGATACACAAGATATGGCCAGTTTCTGACACTAAAGTTAATTTAAACATTGGAAAAGATGGATTTGAGAGACTTTGAATTCAGATGTATTTTTTCCATCATCTGCCTTATACATGAACAAGTGCACAAGCCATTAAATAACAGGTCTCGCAGGTGGGCCAGCAACAGGCTCTCACTTGAGCTGAGCAGCTTAGCATGTGATTTTGTTCAAG